ACCCCTTAACATACCATGAAACTATGAAACTAAAAACATCATATGGTACTAGTAGGGAGCTGTGAATAATTTGCCTATGACAGTGGTTTGTAAAGCTATTCTTTTAGTAACTAAGACTAATTACTTGGCTAAGTGCTCTTTGGTGGATGGATATGCAACTTGCTGGTGTTGTCAGTCTCTGGATTGTGGCTCCATAGTCTCCCTGGGATTGTCAGGAGCTGCGCAAAGGCCATTGTTACTGTGAATAGCTTGTGATTCATTTTTTTGTGGGTGGCAAAAAATAAAATTGTAATTATTGCTTTGAACTTTATATAAAAGCTGATGTTTTTTTCTCCCAAAGGAAAAGTTGTTATTTTTATATAGGTATCTGTGAAAGTGAAATACTCCCTAAGTTTTGCTGTCATTGAAACACTTACCTCCCCCAGTGCACTTCAAGACTGTATTGTGTTAGACATAGTACAGATTCAGAATGATTCTTTAGGAGAGAAATCCATGTATTATCCAAATTAAAAAGAGAAATGTCGAGAAAGATGCACAGAAGTGGGATGCTGTGATGAATTATAGTGTAAAAATCCCTTTTTCTGGGTTCCTATGCAGTGTAGGAGGCACTTGGCCAAAAACCTTGTGGATGCACAGGAGCTCTGCTTTTCTTTCTGAGTGACTCAACTCACTGCAGCATCTTCCTCAAATATGAGATCTGGCAAATGGAGAACTTGTCTGCATTGTGCATTGTGGGGTATGAAATACCCCATCCAGCGGGATGGAGCAGCCACAGCTTCTCTGGGCAACCTGTGCCAGTGCCTCAGCACCCTCACAGGGAAGAATTTTTTTCCTAGTATCTAAACTAAACCTTCTCTCTGTCAGTGTGAAGCCATTCCCAATGTCTTGTCACTCCAGGCCCTTGTCCAAAGTCCCTCTGCAGCTGTCTTGGAGCCCCTTTAGGTGCTCTAAGGTCTCTTTGGAGCCCTGTCATCTCCAGGCTGAACACTCCCAGCTCTCAGCCTGTCTGCATAGCAGAGGAGCTCCAGCATTCCTGGGTGTCACAATCAGCCTTACCAAACCAGGCTGTGAGGCTTTCCAGCCTGCAGCCTCAGCCATCAGGCTGTACTGCCTCTCCAAGCCTGTTGGCAATGGTGCTTTTTGATAATAAACTATCTCAGAAGCCAAATCTCAATTTCCCAAAACTCAAGTTTATTTGTGTGGATTTGTAAGAATGATATGTACGTGGTACTCACTGAAGAAGAAGATTTTATGATTGACTGGGAGCAGATTTAGATGAAAAGTGAAGATTTGTCAGGATCCAATCTCTAATTATTAGAGGGAAACTGAAAAGTTTGAATTCAGCTCTTATATTTCTTGAAGTCCCTGCTGTGAATCTGGAATTTGTTGATGTGAGACCATTTTGGTTAATGAAAATGAAGGATAGAATTGCCAGGGAGTATCTTGCCTATAAATTCTCCTGTTTCTTAGCAGAGCCTCTTCCCCTTCCCCAGCTGTGCTTGAATTTTTCAAGATCTTTGGAGTGTGTGCTTTATATTTTTGAAAGATTCACTTCATCTGTGCTTCAGTCCTTTACAAAATACATATATATCATATAAACACATGGGGAAAACATTTTTTGTGGGAGCAAGTTGCTCATACCTATTACAAATTTAGAATATACAACTGTTGACTGCATGGAATTGATCCAGAGGTTTGTCAGGCTCATCTGAGTGTCATCCTGCTCTGATGGGGAACAGGGGAAGTCAGTAGGTTAGAAGTGAGACAGGACTTTTCATACTCAATCTTCTGTGAACTGCAGGAGACCAGAGAAATACATTTGTGGCATGCCTTGGCAGCAGCAGCAGAGCTAAGAGTGTCAAGAGGGCTGTGTTTGATTAAAAATTATCATGCCTGGCTGCTGACACACAGATTTCCCCCTGCCCCAGTCTTGGTGTTCTCTTCAGCTTCTTCTCAGTGTGTGTGTCTGCACCTGCATAAAGGAGATCCTTTAAACAGAATTGAATCAAATAGCTCTCATAATGTTTTCCCTTATTGCTAACATTTGTCACCTTGATGCATCAGTGAGGAGATGAGTCGAGACACAATGTGCTGTAAAATAACTGCTTGATGAATCAAAATGTGAGTTCAGCATCAAGTGGCTTCGTTAATATGATGCAAGTTTCCAGGTAAATAAACTCATAAATTGCCTTAGTATATATTACCTTTCCTAAATTCAGCCTGCCCTTCCTCCTACAAGAATAATTGTTCTGTTGCATGATTACTAGTGGAGATGTTGCTGTTCTGCCAACAAGACTCATTCATTTGGGCTCTGAAAACTGGGGGTTTCTTAACACAACCTTCAAAAGGTTCCAGGTGACAGAGTTCAGTTCATGCCAAGCTATACCTGTGTGTAGGGGTCATGTGGGCAAACAGCAGCTGAGAGTTTGGTCTGTTGTTGTAGTTTTTGTATTGAATCATAGAATTGTTACAGTTGGAAAAGACCTTTAAAGATTATCAAGTCCAAACATCAACCCAGCACCACTTTCATGTTTACCTTTAAACCATGTCCTCGAGTGCCACGTCCACATGTTTTTTGAACACTTCCAGGGATGGTGACTCCACCACCTCCCTGAACAGGCTGTTCCAGTGCTTTACAGCCCATTCAGTGAAAACATTTTCCCTAATATCCAATCTGAACTTCCCTTGGAGCAACTTGAGGCCATTCCTTCTCTACCTGTCACTTGTTACCTGGTATTATATGTGCCTTTGGGGGACTCTATGCAGTAGGAGAACCTGGTTGTTGCTTGAAGTGGGAATGTACTTTTGTTTAGAGTGACTGTTTTAATACAAAGTGATAAAATAATACAAGCAAAGCCATATTTTTGTCTTGATTTTCCAGTTATCTAATTAAAGTGGTTCTAGTGGCCTTGAATCTACTGGTGTATACACCCTGCAATTTAATATCCTTTCTTTCTGCTACCTAACAACTAGCATCAAATAGGTGGTTTGATTTCTTCAGATGAATGTTTTGTTTTGTGGCTTCTGAGGGAATCACTGACTATTCAAATGGAGCTGTTTATGCTGAAAAGCCAAGCAAACCCACTCTTCCTTCTCTTTTTGCTTCCCTCTGTAGGCTCCTTCATGATGGTGAACAGCTCTGGGAGAGCATCAGGGCAGAAAGCTCACTTGCTGCTGCCTACACTGAAGGAAAATGACACTCACTGCATTGACTTCCACTATTACTTGTCCAGCAGAGACCGTTCCAGCCCTGGCTCTCTGAACGTCTACGTGAAGGTGAATGGAGGGCCACAGGGCAATCCCATCTGGAATGTCTCAGGAGTTGTGACAGAAGGATGGGTGAAAGCAGAACTTGCTATCAGTACTTTCTGGCCACATTTTTATCAGGTATGAGTTTGTAATGTTTTTCTCTCTTTTTCCTTTGAACGTGTGTTGTTAGCAGTAGGTGTTTTGGAAATTGCTGCTCACCTCTCTGAGGTTTTCCTCTCTGAAGGAATTTATGTGTAGCAGTTCCATAGGCCTCTTGACATATTTCTTCCTGCCTCAACCTTTTTCTTTAGCTGTAGTTAGGTCATAGAGTGATGGATGGGAGTCAAATCATTGGCAAGTTAAGACCCACTTGTTTGTGATGGAATGGGCACATAAACTGAGCTGTATTGGCACTTTCCAGGGCACCATGTAACTAAAACAGAGTGTCTAGATGTGAAACTCTCTCTGCCTAGACTTGCCTGAACTGTTCCTGACCCTTGGTTGATTCCTTAAGAAGGAATATTTGTTCACTCAGCTTTACTTCTGGACTTTTTCTGTGCCCATATGGAGGGATAACATGCATAAGCTACTAATAAATCTTGTACCATCCTATCAACATGGGTATATTCTCCATCAGATCCACTATTCCTCTCCTTTTTAGGACTGTTTGTAACACAGTTGTGTTTATTTATGATACAGCATAATTGTATTTATTGTCCCAACCCTGGCAGTGTTCAAGGCCAGGTTGGCTAAAGCCTTGAGCAACCTGCTCTGGTGGGAGGTGTTCCTGCCCAGGGCAGGGGGTTGGGACTGGATGATCCATAAGGTCCATTCCAACCCCTAAAATTCTATGATTCTATTACATTTTTTTTCTTTTAAACTAGGACGAAGCTGAGGAACGTTATGGATAAGTTGTTTTTTGATTAGATGAGTTTTACATCTCCCTGTTAGTTGTTCACTTCAAACTTCATATGGCAAATTTGCAGCCATTGTTTGCACACAAGGAACTCACTTGTTGTTAGGTGTTAAAGGAGTGGTTTTGCCTTGTTTTATATTCAAGGTACTCACAAAATAGAAAGCCTTCCTTGTAGGAAAAGTTGATGTACATATGATACTAATAAAAGACATGAATGAGATAGGAATTATGATAGAATAAACTATGAAAAGTCAGCAAATAGTCTGTGGATAGAAAACAGCAGGTAGAAAAGCTTCTCTTTTATTTTTTGCTTCTAATAACTGGGTAGGAGGTCTGTAAAATCTGAGCTGAAGTTGAAAGCTTTAATGTTCTGCCTCTAAAAGAGTTGTGGCTATCAGCAGACTCCACAGAGCACTAAGCTGGGGAGAGGAAGGGATAAAGAGATGCAAATGTGTGGAAAGTGGTGTTTTAAGGGCAGTGCACAACTCGTGGCTGTTCTGAAGGCACACTGAAGTGCTTCTGCTCCATTCATATTAATGTGAACCTGGGCACGAACCAGAATTTGCTTCATAGTAGGTGCTCCACAGAGATAACAGAAATGATCTTTCACCCAGATAATCAGTGCTTGAAAAACCTGGAAAAAAGAGTCTGATCTCACACCAAGAGAGATCTTGCTCTTAGATATACCCATACTAGGCTTCCTGAGCCTCACTTCAGTCTTTTACAACTCCTTTTGCAGGTCAAGTTTGCTTTTCCTAAGGAAAAAGAAATCCTTTAAAATCAAAGAAGAATTTATCACTGCAGCACAAAACTGAACAGATTGGCAAGCAGCAGTAACTGCCCAGGAAGTGTTCCTTCCTACAATTTTATTTTTTTTAAATTTTTGATGGCTGGGGGTGATATTTCCTTCTGCTTATATTGGTAATCTTACACCTTAAGTGTGGCTTTTAAATTTTGAAATCTGTCCTGCTATTATGGGGATCTTGTCTTCAGTTCCTGATTTTATAAGCCATCTTGCTGATGGTCTGCAGTCCTGTGAGTTCCTGCATTTAATCCAAGGTCTAAAGAAAACAATAAAGAGACCTTTAAGCTTGAAAAAGGAAGAGGAAAAATTACTGGTATTTGGCAGCCTAAAGTAATGCTCCTGGCTAAAGGAGTCTAGAGATGGCAGGACAACAAAGCTTGGGTATGTTACTGCCTCATTTCACACTCAACATCTCTAGGATGTGCCATTGGAGTGTTATTTAATAAAATCCTGGGATAGTTTGGGCTGGAAAGGACCTCAAAGCTCATCTCATTCCAATCCCTCTGCCATGGGACACCTTCCACTAGCCCAGGTTGCTCCAAGCCCCATCCAACCTGGCCTTGGAACACTCCCAGGATGGTGCATCCACATCTTCTCTGGGAAACCTGTGCCAGTGCATCACCATCCTCAGCTTTAAAAGAAAATTGCCCACCTGGTGAACCTTTTGTACACCAGAGGCCTGAGAGTATGTTCTGTATTTTGAAAGCATCAGGTAACATGGGAAAACCCAACATTTTGCCCTAAATGTTGAAATCCACATCAGGCAAAATGTGGATTATTCTCTCAATGCACAGAAATTACACTATCCCAAAGTGTGAAATGCATCAGCAGTTCAGTCAGGCAAACCAGTCTGAAGCTATCTGCCCTGGGTCTGAGGCTTTGAGAAGTACTTTGAGCATTGGAGATGTGACTAGTGGAAAAGTAGTAACCAAGGCAGTTGCAAGAGGTCATGTTTTAGGTCTGGCAGCTCTGTGCAAGGGTCATCTGAGTCATCTGGCTCCAAGAGCACTCTGCTGAGCTAGAAACATGGAGAGGGTGAAGATTTATCATGTCTACCCTAGAGTTACTTGTACTTGGATTCCCAACCTGCAAAGGTTTTTAGTGTAGCGAGAAAAAAGCTGTAATAGTTCTTGGAGAAAGGTAATACATGTAATCTTGAATTACTGCTTGCCATAAGGATGAACTTAGTCCCAGAATGCACCAAGGGCAGCACTAGAGCCTGCCAGGAAGGTGTTTTTTTGATATATAGCAAGGGATGTTATTGATCCATGCCTGAAGAGAACTGTTGTAGCACAACAGATGAGCTGTGCTACGCTGCTAACACAGACATTGCTGGTAAATCACAGAGTGAAATGTGGGGTTGTTTATCGGTAAGGAAACATGAAATGACTTTGTATTTGCAGTTCTCAAGAGCATTTAAGAATGTTTTCTTAAGAGGAAAGCTTTGTGTTTTGTCACCTGCATTAATTTTTGAGAAGCTCCTTCCAAGTAAAGCGAAGTTAAATGCTGTGTCTCAGCCATTGTGCTGCACTTCCGATGGGCTTTAAAAGGCCATGAGAGTAATTCACTGGGAAATTTGCAGAAATGGACCCCTAAGCATTAATTCCTTTTCATCATGGAGGGTCTCAATTCCCTCTTTCCAGGAAAGCCTGGGTGCTTCTATGCGTTTGGTAGGGATGAGATGCTGCAAAACACGTAACGAGACAACAGTGCAGAAGTTTGAACTGGGAAATAACAAGAATGAATGTAAAGCAGAACAGAATAAAATGATCAAACAATATGGCTTGAATTGAGAGGAATCCTCTACTCTTCCAGGTGCATTCTGCAGCAGTGTACATGGATTTTTTTCAAGGCTGACTCGGTTGTTACTGGATTAAGTTATATTGTGCTGTATTAAAGACTCTGCACATGTTAGTAATTAACTGAACACAATTCTCTGTGTATCAGTGCTTACTTTTGCCACACACTCAGAGCTGATGCCAATGCCTTGGAGAACTTTTCTTTCCAAGTTCTTGGCTTGCAGGAAATTGAGAATTAGTTTATTGTGGCTTAAGGCTTCTCACTAATGCAAAACTAAAATCAGGTTTTGTAGCTGTAATGTTGCACTTTAATTCAAGTCTGAAGGGAGTTGGAGCATTGCCTTACATGACCTTCCCAGTATATGTAATTTTTATCATGAATGACATTTAATTTCTAAAGTAATTATAATTTCCATCCTAAGAACTCCTGTTTTATGCTCTTACTTTATACAGGTCCTAAAAAGCCTATCAAGGCCCTTGATAACAAAAAACATTTATTGATGGGGTTTGGATTATTTGATCTTCCAGAGATTTGCTTCCTCCCATTGCTCCTTGGGCAGCCTAGTTTTGTCCACCCTAGAGTAGGAATTTGTTTCTACATATTTTTAGCACCTTAGATTTTCTTAGTTTATATCTTTGCCTGTTCATTTGGGTGTTCTATCTGCTTTTATCATGTCCTTTTTTCTTATTGATGTATTTCAGGTGAGCTCACATCTGGTTGTATTTTGAAATGGGGGAACAGGTCTTAGGAAGTCATGGAAATATGAATAGAAATTGTTTGGGAAGTCATAATGCAAAGCAAAATTAATGACAGAGTCCTGTACTTAGGAAGGACAGACTGGTCTAAATTCACAGCCAGAGCATTGGGACAGTTTAACTTTTTACTGTACTCAGTCTGCTGAAGGAGATGAAGAGGCTCAACAGTGGCAGCCTGGGAACACCAGCTTTTATTTAGATTGAAAAATAAGTGGGGAAAACTGGTTTTAAATAGTTAACTTTGTGTTCTAGCAGTGCATTTTAGAAGTTGCAAATGACTGAAATACTTTCTCCTAGGGAACAAGGAGCTGCACTAGAATACTGCTCTGCTGGCAATAGCTGTGCCAGCTGAACGTGTTCATTAACTCTGTCCTTGAAAACCTGATTGTATACTCATGCAAAAATGAGCAGTTCAGTACAGTGTGAACATTACCTCAGTAAGATGGAATAAAATTGGGAATATCCCGTTCAAATGCAGAGGATAGCATCTATTACACCTCCACCCGTTCATTTTTTAACATAGTAAAAGATAGCACTTCATTCCTTTGGGGAGAGAATCACTAATTTTAGAGGGAGCATCCCCAGGATGTTGACTAATCAGTCTGCATTTTTTTCTATTGCAGTTTAGCATTTCCAAACTTCCCATTCCTTGTAGAGTCATAGCATATCTCAAGTTGGAAGGGACCCATAAGGACATCGAGTCCAAATCCCTGTTCATCACAGGACTATCTAAAACTCAGCCATGTGACTAAGCATCTTCCAGATGCTCCATGAACTCAGGCTTGGTGCTGTGACCACTTCTCTGGGGAACCTGTGCCAGGCATGGACCTCCCTCCCAGTGAAGAATGTTTTCCTAATATCCAACCTGAACTTGCCCTGACACAGCTTTATTCCATTTTCCCCTGTCCTGTCACTGCATCCCTGAGATATCAACATCGTCCCCTCCACTGCTCTCCATGAGGACATCATAGACTGTGACAAGGGCACAGTCCTCAACTCCTGTCCTACTATCCTGGAATTGTTGGCCAAACTGCACCAGAATTCAATAATATTTTCACCTGATTTTTAGTTAGATTATTTGACAGCAATTAACTTAGTTTTAATGATGTCTTTATCAGTTTTTTAGGGTTCTTTTCTTCTTGCACTGCTGATTTTTTGGATAGTCTGTATATTTTTAGTAACAGGACAATTTTCCAGGTTAAAATCACAAACCCATAGGGAAGAATGAGATTTTTGTTCATCTACAATTGAAGATGTGCCTTTTCAGACCCAAATTAATGGAATGCTTTCATTATCCAGATACATAAATGAAAAAGGAAAAGCTAGTTAGTGTACCATTAATGTAGAGAAACACTACACGGGATTTTTAAGAAGTCTCAGATCATGTTAGTTCAATTCAGGCAAAGGCAGAAACAACTTTATTATATTTGGGAGAATCTTATTTCAGTCCAGTAACTAGAACATCATCCTTTGCTCATAATTTGCTTCCTAATACTGCCAGGCCCTGCATGTCAAGTGGAGAAGTTTCTCCAGAAGAATCCATGCATGGTTATTGAGTCAGTAAGAGAATTCTATCTCATCTACAGCTTTCTTCAGCTTTCCAAGGCATACTGAGAACAAGGCTGAGGAAGTTGGGGCTGTTCAGCCTGGAGGAGAGAAGACTGTGTGGAAACCTCAGAGCAACTTTTCAATAACTGAAGGGGCTACAAGGAGCTGGAGAGGGACTCTGTGTTAGGAACTGCAGTGATAGGACAAGGGGTAATGGGTTCAAACTGAAGGAAGGGAAGTTTAGTTTAGATATTAGAGAAAAGTTTTTTTCCTGTGAGGGTGGTGAGACACTGTCCCAGGTTGCCCAGGGAGGCTGTGGCTGCCCCAACCCTGGCAGTGTTCAAGGCCAGGTTGGCTAAAGCCTTGAGCAACCTGCTCTGGTGGGAGGTGTCCCTGCCCAGGGCAGGGGGTTGGGACTAGATGATCTGTAACGTCCATTCCAACCCATAAATTCTATGATTCTATGTCAAATTATTATCTACGTAATACTCCTGGACTGTTGCTTAAGTGAATATAGTCGTGTTCATACACAGGCTTCTCTTTGCTTTTCCAAATCAGAGATGCACATAGTTGTCTCTAATATTAGGCACTATTGCTCTAACTGGGTTTTTTTTCATTCCAAACAGGTTTGCTGTGCACTGACATACTGAAATACCTTGGTATCCCTTCATTATTAACTATGAAATGCCTTGGATGACTCAGACATTGGAATCAGAGCAGAATATGGGACTGGAGAAATGCCTAGTGTGGATACACTTTTTAAGAATTATCTTTATTTTGTATTTCAGGTGATATTTGAATCAGTCTCTTTGAAAGGACATCCTGGGTACATAGCTGTGGATGAAGTCCGAGTTCTTGCCCATCCATGCAGTGAGCACTCTTTGTTTTTCTAACTGTATCAATGTGTTACATGTCAGGGTTTGCAGTCTGAAGGAGTGATTTACCCAACTGGGTCAACAATAAACTGGATTCTTGTATCCCCTAAAAACATTCAGCCTTGCATAGTCACCTAACCTTACAAGTTATGCAAAAGGCTCTCAGTCTATAGCTAGTGCTAGCACTTCTGTGGAATTCTCTCTTCCTTTCTTGTTCTGAACACATAAAACTGATGGTTTGATTGTTTTTGAGTCATATTGCTGTAGAAAATCATATAAAACACATCTCCTAATATTCTGTGTGGTCAACATAAGAAAAGAACCAGGAAACAAATTGTTTCAGTGTTTCCTTGGTAAAGGGCATGTCCCTAAGGTCAGTGTCTCTCAACAAATGTTAAACCTGCTCAGCACCTCTGTAAAGATATTAAAAACAAATCTTATTCAGACAGTGCACTTGCACAGAAGTAGAAACTAATGCAGGTTCATTACACTGTTCAACAGTGTTAGTGCTGAGTTTCTTCTCTCGCAGATACAACAATAAGCTCAGATTTATTTACTTATTTGTTATACTTAAAGAAACCTTGAGCCTCAGTCTGTGATTCTGAACTTGTTTGGTTTCTTTATGCACCTACAGTGTGGCTTGAGGTCTTTGTCTATGTTATGTAGGTAATATACTTTCTTGTCAAGATGGTTTTTTAGCAGCTCTTCTCACTGGCTCAGAGTTCCACTAAGTCAGTGACAGCTGTTCACAAAAAAAAATTAAAAATCATGGATTATATCAATGGAGTGAAATCAGCTGGTTTTCCTGCAATCAGAATGTCAAAGAACAGCTGCCATTCAATGTGACAGACATGGTTCTGCCCAAGTTGAACAGGACGTTCCTGATCAGTGCAGTATGGTTAATGGCTCTTTGAGTAAATGATATTTGTATTTACCATGTGCTCATTGCTTGGGCCTTTGGGTGCATTTACTTCATTAGGAAATACTTGCAGTCTGTATTTACCAGATGTTGCTGATAACTGGCAGCATCCAGACAATCCCCAAATGGGCTGAGTGCCTTCCACAGACGGTTGGGTGATGGCTGCTCCCTTTACTGGGAAAAAGGCCACTGAACAAGCCACAGGGCAAAGCCTTGACAAGAAAGTTATGGGATTTAAAAGAGATAGACAAGATGCTGTGCTATACCCCTGCTTAGTGAAGCAAATTGATTTTGAATACATTACTTCAAGTATATGCAGGTCCTTCTTCAAAATTAAGTGCATCCATGGTGACTCAACACCAAAATGATTCAAACAGGGTTTGCTTTTTGATTAATCCCTTTGCAACCTGCAGCAGACAGAGCTCATTACAAGCTGCAAGTTCTCTGCAGTCTCTGGAAATGTTTCTCCTGTCTGATTCTCAGTGTTGCTTTTGTGGTTCAGCGATGACAGTCACCAGGGTAAATGTCACCCACGTGTTCCATTGACTTGCACAGGCTTTGCCCCTCAGATTATTTTTACAATAGCTATAAATCAAAACACAAGGACCATGAAGCTCCCAGTGACCCCAGAGGTTACTGAAATCATTGGTCTTATTTCTTCATTTCTGCTTTACCTTCACAGATGACAGTATAGCAGACAAACTGAAGTATCAGCAAAACCAGTGAAATGCCCCTAATGACACAGTAATGGAGAAAAATAAACATCTTGCTGGTGTTGCCTTTTTTTAGCTTTGTCCTGTGAAGGAATGCACTGGAATATCCATTTTCATATGCTAAGAGCTCTTTGTGTGCATGAGCCCCTGCCACCACAGGACAGCCCTATGCTCCAGAAGTTGTGCAGACCAAAGGACCAGGAGTTTGGGGTTAGTGTGAATGCATCTCTGTATTTGGAGCTGACCTAGAGCTGCAGACTGCAGGCAGAAAGTGCTAGAAATTAGCCTGTAAATGCCATGTAGAACATGTGTCACCCACAGATAGTTTTCCTGTAAACTTTGCTGCAAATTCCTAATGCCCAGAAAGCAGGATGGTACAGAATTACTGTCCTTCAGGAGCTATCAGCAAACTGAGCATGTGGTGAACGGGACACAAGTGGATGAAAATTTTTGGCATGATGTACAGATATGTTCTCTGTTCATGTGCCTGTGGTACACATATACTTGTATGTCCAACTTCATGCACAGCCACAGATGCTCACAGCCTTTTCAAGCTATTTGATTCCAATAGAAGAAGATAGGTTGGAATGTTCTCTGAAATGATGTATTTCATCAGAATCTGATCATACTAGAAAATTTAAAGATGAAGGTGAAAAACTCTGACCTTTATAGGCTCGTTAGGGCTATTCAGTGTGTCCTACTTAAAGTTTTCAAATGGTGCACAAACATGAAGCCTGGCAAGACCTAACTTCACTTAAGGCATCAGATTCACTATTGTCATCTTGTTTATACTTTTGTAAGTTAAATTAGAGACATAACTGAGGGTGGTATTTAGTCAAAAGGATAATCCCCTGATCTAGTTCCTTTGTGAAGAAATGCAGCGTCTGCATTTTGATATCAGTGGTTTAATTTTGAACCATTGCTGAATTTAGTGTCAGCAAAATACTGATATCAGTGATCTTGAAGTAAATCAGTGATACAATACTGTCAGTTACATGAATATTTCATTTAATATCTGATTTGATATTAATGCTGCGTTATTGTAAAGGTCTAGGACGTATTTGATAGTCAATAAAATACAAAGGATAAAAGACCCTTGTGCAAATGTGGTTTGGGTCAGTCATGCTTGGCAAGCACAGAAGCATTTGATTTTTTTTGACCTTTTTAGAAACACAGTTTTCTGAAGAAAGAAATGACTCAATTACTCTTTATAGCAAGCAGTAAGAAATGGTTCTGATGACCATGAACTTGTGATTTGATCCAAGTCTGTGTTGTCAGATGTACCAGGGCTCTGTAAGATCCCTTAGGCCATCGTCTCTCAGATCCATCATCCACCTCTCTCTGCAGGGAATAGTTCCATACTGAAGGACAGCAAAATCACTTTGTCAAGGATAGCCCTAATGCTTTGCTGAGTGTTTCTGTCTGGGCTGATATGCCACAGTTGGTTACTACCTTGCTCTACCCTTGCAATACTTTGCCTCTTTTGTCAGGAAAAGCACCTCATTTCCTACGACTTCAGAACGTGGAGGTGAATGTGGGCCAGAATGCAACATTCCAGTGCATTGCTGGGGGGAAGTGGTCACAGCATGACAAGCTCTGGCTCCAGGTAAATCAATGCCCCATTTGGGTGGTGTTTTTTCTTGTTTGGTTTTGGTTTTTTTACTTTGCAAGTTAACTAAGTCGATAAAGACTTGGGTGGTGGAGCAGAATCTTTACATCAAGATCCTTTGAAAACTGCCTTAAATAATTTCTAGGTGAGAGTTTAAAATCACAATTTCTTATACAGAAAGTGAAAAAAATGGCCAGGGACAGCAAAATTCTGGTTTCAAACAGATGCCCATCTGTAGACACTCATTCATAAAGCTGAAGAGACACAACAAATGGAATAGTTTTTCCCTTCTGTTTTATTAAACAATCTGCTTTCCTCTCACCCTCCAAAATGTTCTCAGCCCAAAGTCAGTGGCAATATGTTAAGGAAACTTAGTCTAAGATCTGGAATTACTTATCTGGGTAGTGAAAGCAGGCAAAACCAGTTTGCACCCACTGATCTTCTTGCTCCCAGTTTCCTTTGGCTGCATTGATTGCAGATTGTACCTTTCAGTCACTCACTAAAATATCATAAATCACAGAATGGTTTAGGTTGGAAGGGAACTTAAAGCCCATTCCATTCCAACTCCCTGCCATGGGCAGTGTCACCTTCTACTAGACTAGGTTGCTCCAAGCCCCATCCAACCTGACTTTGGATACTTTTAGGGATGGAGTAACCACAGCTTCTCTGGGCAACCTGGCCAGTGTCTCACTACCCTCACACGTGTAAAAATATTGCAGCCCTAGCTCATGGAACACTGTGAATTTCTGAAGAGTAAGGTTAATCTTCTCTTGAAAAATTGTGCCTGTATAAAATCTTGCCTAGCAGTATGAACGCAAAGGTCTGAACAATGTCCAGCATCACAACGAATTAATTGCACGTGGATGCAAAAATGAATCATCTGTGCATCTTCATAACTTGCTTTATTTTTCTCTGCCTTTACAGCAGTGGAATGGAAGGGACACAGCACTGATGGTCACTCGAGTGGTCAACCACAGGCGTTTCTCTGCCACTGTGAGCGTGGCTGACACGTCTCAGCGCAGTATCAGCAAGTACCGATGTGTCATCCGCTCAGATGGTGGATCTGGAGTGTCAAATTATGCAGAATTAATAGTCAAAGGTAGGTTGCATTAAACCAGCACCTTCCTGCAAGAGGAATATTTCCTCCTAGATGACAACTATGTATAAAATTTGACATTCTTTTGGACATTTTTTGCTATTTCTGCTAAAATATGGAAAAAGGTTAAAAGTGGCATGAATTTAAATCATTATCTTAAGCCAAATATTTGAATCTGAACTTTGGATGCAGCAATCTTCATCAGCTTTTGGAGTAATGTGTGGTGACTATGGAGACTTACTGTAGTCAGCAGAACAGTTTGGCTGTCAGCTTCATCTGCTTTCCTTTACAGCATTTTATCAGGGATAAATAGTGCTGTGCTGGAGCACTGCATGTCTGGAGAGACTCCTCAGGGCTGCAGGGAGGAAATGCTGGGGTTGATTCTGCTGATGGCCTGAAGTACAGAGTAGAAGCATCAGTAGTTCTGAAGGATGCTTGGATTTTAGCCATGTTAATGACTGGGATTCAAGAGCTGCACTTGTGTCTGACACATGCAAGGGGTGTCTTAATCTCACCTTCACTAGGCATGTGGTGAAGTGCTGCTCACTGTGCTGCTTTTGTATTTATTTACTTGTTAAACTGAGCCTGAGCTGCACCACAGGGGTGCTGCATCACTGACTCTTCCATGGTGAGATCAGGTGGGTAAGTTGCTCCTAGTGTATTCTGTGTTTGGGGTGGGAGTGAGGTGAGGTGGGAGGAATTGGGAGCATGGGGCTGCCAGAGTATTATTTTATTGATCTAAGAGTTTCAGTTTGCTGTGAGAATGGAGGGCAGCTGTAGAAATGAGATCAAGCTGTCCACTGTACTGCTTTCTGCCAAGTGACTCTGGCATTTGCTGATCAGTGTGCTGATGCCTTTATAACACCTTGGAGTGCTGTGTGGTGCAGATGTTCAGACTATGCAGATCAGGAAGAGAATGCTCCTGTTAGATGCCAAGTGCTTTCAATTCCCACTCGGTGCTCTTGCATCTTGTTCAAATCTAGAGGAATTAATTCATGATTAAAATGGAATTGAGCTGCCAGGAGTAGCATACCTAGGATTGTATCATGGCTAACTAGAGGGAAGGTAGTCTTCCAGGGCAGCCAGGTATCAGAATGTTCCAAGCTGAGTAGGTGCCTGACACTTTCATGTTTATTGATACAAGCAGGGGAAAACTGGAAGAATAAGTGGTGGCATGGCCTCACCTCAAGTGCTGGGTACAGTTTTGGGCATCACAATATAAGAGAGAGATAAAGCTATTAAAGAGTGTCCAAAGGAAGGCAATGAAGATGGTGAAGGGTCTAGGGGAGAAGCTATCAAGAGGGTCTGATGTCACTTCACTCATTCAGCCTGGAGAAGAGGGGACTGAGGGCAGAGTTCATCGGGGTCTGAAGCTTCCTCAGGAGAGGCAGGAGTGATCTCTGCTCTTTGGTGACCAATGACAGGACCCAAGGGAACACATGGAGCTGCATCAGAGGAGGTTTGAGTTGGATATTAGACAAAGGTTCTTCCCCCAGAGGTGTTTGGGCACTGAACAGCTGCCCAGGGCAGTGGTCATGACCCCAAGCCTGACAGAGCTCCAGGAGTTTTTGGCCAATGCTCTCAGGCACAGGGTGCATTGTTCAGGGCTGGAGTTGGACTTTGATGGTCCTTGTGGGTCCCTTCCAACTCAGGATATTCTGTAATTCTAAATTAAACCCATGAATGGTTGGATGTCCACCAGGAGAGATGCTGATAGATTCATTGCTGGATGACTTAGGCAGACACATCTAGTTGGAAAAAACTTTAGGAG